TGGGCACTGGTTAGGGAGTTTTGGCTTGAGGCCGGAGAGGGAGTTCCACCGGCGGCAATGGTGCGCTCGGAGGAATTGGTGGACATGTTGACGATTAGTCGATTGTTTTGGGGAGAGGATCGACCGAGGGTGATGGAAGGAGAGAGAAAGAAAATTCCCTGGTCTAACTGATACCAGATGAGATAATCAGTTCAACATTCAACATAACAAGGATCAGGATTACAATACTAATAGCATAACAGCTCTACGTAAGTAACCCCTATCAACTAGGAAAGCCATAGAAGACTAAGCCTATTACAAAGACTAGTCAACATAATAACAATATTAAGAAACTAATAATAATAATAATAATAATAATAATAATAATAATAATAATAATAATAATAATAATAATAATAATAATAATAATAATAATATTGCTAACAGTGCCAACCATCTTCGTTGTCGCATGTTTAGATCTTTTTGGGTGAAGATGTATTTCAGGCTTTTATGGTCTGTGTAGATCATGCATTGTGCTCCGTATAGGTAATGCCTCCAAATTTTTAGGGCGAACACGATGGCGGCTAGCTCTAGGTCGTGTGTGTGGTAGTTTTCTTCGTGGGTTTTGAGTTTCCTGGATGCGTATTCTATTACCTTGCCTTTTTGCATTAGTACGCATCCTAGTCCCCTTTTTTGGAAGCGTCGTTGAAAACTTCGAATCCTTCCACTCCGGAGGGAAGGGCTAGGACGGGTGCTGTGGTTAGTCTTTCTTTCAATTCCTGGAAGGCTGAAGTGCAATTGTCGTCCCACCGGAAGGGGGTTTCCATCTTCATGAGTTTGGTGAGGTGTTGGGCTATCTTGGTAAAATCGGGTACGAATCTCCGGTAATAGCCTGCCAACCCTAGGAAGCTTCTGACCTCCGAAAGTGATTTTGGTGTGGGCCATTCCTTGACAGCGTGGATTTTGGTTGGATCCACCCTGATTCCCTCTTTGGTTATCATGTGTCCTAGGAATGCCACGTTGTCTTTCCAAAATTCGCACTTGGAGAATTTGGCGTATAGCTGGTTCTCCCTTAAGGTTTACAAGGTTGTGCGAAGGTGCCTTTCGTATTCCTCCTTGTTGTGTGAGTAGACCAAGATGTCGTCAATGAACACAATGACGAAGTTAACTAAGTAGGGCTGAAATACTCGGTTCATGAGGTCCATGAATATAGAGGGTGCATTGGTGAGTCCGAAGGGAATTAACGTGAATTCGTAGTGGCCGTAACGGGTTCGAAAAGCTGTTTTCTGAATATCTGGGTCGGCCACTTTTATCTGGTGGTATCCGGATCTTAAATCGATTTTTGAGAATACTCCTGCTCATTTAAGTTGGTCGAACTAGTCATCAATTCGAGGGAGAGGATACTTGTTCTTTATTGTGACTTGGTTTAGTTCCCTATGGTCGATGCATAGGCGCATGCTTCCATCCTTCTTTTTTACGAATAGTACAGGTGCTCCCCATGGCGAGGTACTGGGGCGTAAGTACCCTTTGTCCAGTAAATCCTGGAGTTGTGCTTTTAGTTCCTTCATTTCTTTTGGTGCCAGCCTATAGGGTGGTTTTGAGATTAGGGCAGCGCCAGGCACCAAGTCGATGGTGAATTCTACTTCTCTGGTTGGGGGTGCCCCGGGGATTTCGTTTGGAAAGACATTGGTGAACTCGTTTACTACCAGAATGGTCTGGTCTGAGGTTCGGCTGTCTTGGTGTTAAGATCTTCAACTGAGCACAGGAAGGCTTCGTGTCCCTTGGTTAGGTATTTCTTCATTTTTATCATGTTTACTAGTTTAATTTCCAGGTCCTTGTGGCTCCCGTGGTAGGATACCCGTTTGCCGTTTGGTCCCCGTAAGACCACTTTTTGTTCGTCGCATAGGATTTGCGCTCGGAATTTCCCTATCCAGTCCATGCCCAAGATCACTTGTATCCCATCCAGCCTGAATTGTATCAGGTTGCTAGGGAACTCTATTCCTTCGATGGTGATCATTATATTTTTGTACATGCGTCATATTTTATGATTTCGCCGGATGCCACCTTGACTTGCAGTTGTACTCTTGTGTTGGTGTTCAAGCCAAGTTGCATGGCGAAGTCGGTCGCTATGAATGAGTTGGTGGCTCCTGAGTCAAATAGTACGGTGCCAGGTGTAACACCCCGTGTTACGACCCCTAAACCCAAATTAATTAAACAATTACTCAGCCCAAAAAGGGAGTTAAAATCCACTAATTAGCTAAAAGGGGTCCACCATAGTCCATGGGCCCTTATCCCTAAAGCCAATCCCTTAGTCCTATAGGAAATAGAATTAGCAAAGCCACACCACTTAGACCCTAACTAGGACTCTTAGGTATATATATATCAGGACATAAGAGGCACATAGAACTCACACCACAATAACTTTCACCACACAAGAATCCCCCAAGAATTCCCATAGGAGAAATCAAGAAAGAGGAAATCTTAAAGAAAGACCCTTCATAGCCAAGGCAATTAATTAAGGCTAAGAGGTAACCCATGTCTCAACAAAACCTATTTTCTTCGCTATAATCTCCGTCCTTGGCCTCCTTCTATATGCTTGTGTCTTGATTAAATTCCTCTATGCAATTTGTGATATATTCTTGATAATTGATAAGATGATTTGTGTGTGTTCTTGATAATCTTAATGATCTTGATGATGGAAAGAAGTTCTTGATATTGGTGTGATAATTCTTGACAAATCTTGATATTCATTGATGTTAAAGATAAGTTGTGATTTTGATAAAATTGGGAGGGATTAGAGCCCTAGGATGGATTGGGAATTTGTGTTGTAATGTTCTTGATGTATATTTGGGTGGGAATTCACATGTTCGAGTGTTGGTTATGTTTAGAAATCATAATAGGATGAGTTATGCATGATTCTTGCTTTTGATCCATTAATTGCCTACGTGATGTTGTTAATTGCGTTTAAAAGTGTCTAAGCATGGTTTCGGGTTCCACAAAGGATCCCAGGACGTAATTGTGATAAAAGAGTCAGTGGGAGGTAGGTGGGGGTAGGGGTACCCGCCACCTACCCGTTGCCCGTAAATCACCGCCAGGCAGCGGGCAGACGCCGGGCAGGCGTTCGCCGCCGGCAACCCGCTGCCCGGGCGATGATCTCCGGCGGGCAGCC